GATTCACCAAAAATGCTGCTCTTTAATGCCTGCCTGCTTCATACCATAGCATGTCCATGATTGCTCAGATGCTCCTCTACCACTTGATAACTTTCCTCTTATGAATTCCAACACTTTTTACCCATACTTGTGTAAGAGGGGACACATACACACACACACACAAACACACACACACACACACACACACACACACACACACACACACACACAATGGATTGATTGATCAGCAATTGCTGATATGCTCTCCTGCGGACAAACCCAGAGTTCGGATATGGAGCAAACAAAATGACAGCAATGTTGGCTCAACCTTTACTTGGTGGAGAGTTCAGGCACTCAAATCTCCTGGTAACTAGATGCACGGAGACAATTACTCTCTCTCCCTCCACAGATACTCATGGTGGACTCTAGTTCCAGCCCCTTCATCCCCTCCCGATGGCCTCCCTGCACTGTGCGGACAGAGCCTTGGACTTCAGTGCATATGACCTTGGATTATATCTGTATTGAACACGTACAACGCATGGGACTTCAGTCCCTAGGACCTTGCATGGGTGGCGAGACTCTGCATCTCTCTTGGCTCGAATTTCATGTCAAACGCTTCATGCAAAAGAGGCTCTCGGAGTAGGAGGGTGGGAAACTGTTCATGAAGGTTCTGCGCAGCTGCTCCCAGCTGCTACAAAATTCTCCTCTCAGGAACTGAAAGTACCTCTGCTTGATTCGCCTCTCCAGTGGCCTCAAGCAGACAAGGCCCCAATCGTTAGAACATAACGTTTTGAATATTGATGGAAGGAAAGAACACTAACTCCAAGCTCAGTGACCTCTGATTTGCTCTGTGCCAGGCCACAAAGCCCTATAGTAGGGCTGGTGTTCTCTCTGATACTTCCTGGTACTAAAGCAAAAAAAAGTAAAACACAGGAAGGAGGTGTGATCAGCTAAAAGACTGGAGCAATGTGGGCTTCCTACTCTATGCCAAATAAGACCGAAATGCTTGTGTGTACATGTGGATAGACAGATAGACAGACACATAGTAGGGCTTCTGTAGCCACAACATTTGCATTCATGGAATCAACCAACTATAGGTCGTAACAATCTAGAAAAACTCCATCTGAATTAAATGTGTACGGACTTCCTTATCTTTTCATTATTCCCTAAATGACTCTGTATAATAAGTACGTACATAGTAGTAGGTATTTAATGTACTCTGGATATGCTATAAAGTGCACAGAAGGATGTATGTGGGTTATATATGGTGTAATAGAAATATTACACCCATTTTAATGAAAGACTTGAGCATCTACGGAGGTAGGAATGTACTGGGAGTCCTGGGACAATTCTCCACATTATTTTCAGAGATTACATATAAGAATAATATAACATAGTTATATATTATGTATCATATATGTTATATATTATATGTTACGTTACATACATATTATATTGTTATATATTACATGTGTTATATTATTTAATATTCCTTCTAAGATGAGACAGCTATTTATAATATCTTTAAAGGCATTAAATATTTTACCAATTGGTATCGTTCTTAGAAGTGAAAATACAGCATACCTTCATTAGTGAAGGTCTGATAGATAGGGAGGCCTCATTAAATTCTGGGCTCACCTGCTCAGAAACCCCAGTCGAGACAATTCGGTCTTGGCTTCCAGTAAAGATCTCAATATTCCAGAGCAACCACAATGACTTCCTCAGTTCCTTTATGAACTCACCACACGCACAATGGAGACAGACTATGCATCACAGCAGATTGCTTTCCCAGGACACACAAGCGGCAGACATTTGTTGCGCTGATATCATTGTCTGCTAAATTAAGTAGGGAGGAATGTTTTTGAAACCCATCAGGGTGAAGTTTCATACCCAGGAAACTCCACAGACCTGTCCTCAATTATTAGAACAAATCTGCACACCTAGAGAAATTTGGTGGGGGAATTTGTTGAGGATATTAAAACAGTTTAAACAAGAGGAGCAACAGCCTTTCTCCAAAAGTGTTTTTGAAGAACAAATTTGTGTCTTATCTTTTATTATACATTTTCTGCAATCAAGGGTTTATTACTCTACTCTCCAGACATCATTTATAAGACATTTCAGTTTCTTTCAAGTGAAGGAAAGGAGTAGAAATATCTTAATCTTAGCAGCAAGCTTTTCTCTGAAACTCTCAAAGAGATTTTCTTCAAACTTCACAGCAACTTTTCTCCCTTTGTGCGGACAGTAGGGGGCACTACCACAGCAAACTATTATGCATTATGGGAAATAGATTCCACTAAGAGTAGAAACAAGAAAAAAAAAGAAGAAAAAAAGAAAGAAAAAAAGCTAGATACTTGGGGGGCTCCTCCCATGTCAACACATCTACAAATATTATACAGATTTTTACCTTTTGTAATCCACATTGGGGTGTGAATATCAGGGTGTGTGTGTGTGTGTGTGTGTGTGTGTGTGTGTGTGTGTGTGTGTGTGTGTGTGTGTGTGTGTGTGTGGACAAACCTTACATTGTAAAATTTGGGAAACTCAGGAGGATCTAATCAGATCCTCTGTTCTAGAATGTTAACTAAGTGTAAGTAGCTAAAATGGACTTAGTAGTTAAGAGACTGTGTGAGATGTATACATACACACAGTTAAATCTTCAGTCTGTTCTGCAAACATCAAACTCTGACTTCAGAGCCAAGATAAAAAAAAGAAAAAATGTGGGAAAATTTCATTGAATAATCATATAATAATCCAGACTCCATAGGTTGGAGTTTTAAAATAAGAGTTCCCTGTGTAATTGAGTTCAGCTTAAATTTATGCATTCAATTAAAAGAAAAACCAAAACATTGGGAATGGTAAAAACAAAGACATTTTCTCCAACACTTGGAAAATTAGATTCAGCAAACCATGAAGTCTACTGTGCAGTTATTTTTGTAACCATCATAAATTGCTTTATAGAACTCCTCTGCCCGAGTAAACAATCTAAGCAGAGATTTACTTTATAGCATGCATTCAGTTTCCAAAGGACAGAGCGGCCTCAAAGTTTATGGGTCCTTTTCTTTCCTTTTTTTTTTCCCCTCCCCAACTACTTGTGTTTCCAGTTACCTTGAAACCTTTCTACTCTTAGAGGAGTTTAGAAAGTTCTACACAAAATATAATCCAGGTCTGCAGATCCACTATAGTCTCAGATACTCATTGCTGGGAGAAGAAGAAACAATTCTACCTTGTGGAAATAAAAGTTTATATGACAAAGTGACAACAAAAGGTTTTAGTACTAAATATGTCACCCTATTTCATGGCATCTCCAGACCCTGTTTGGGCTGGGATGGTTCAGCCAGCCCAGTTCACTTAAGATGTGTTCATTTCTGGTCCTATATAAGGCCAAATACGAGGCAGGCTGCTGTAGATAAGAGTTTTAGGGGTGTTTAAACACTTCTTTCTTCTATCGCTTATTGGGGGGGGGGGGGGAACAAAGCTGTCTTTGTGCTAAAAAGAAAGACCTGTTGTTTCCAGATTCAACAGGTCATTTTTATAAGAACTTCCCAGAGGATATAACATAAATGACAGAAACACAAGGGGATATTTTAAGTGGCTGATGATTTTAAATGATATATAATCTGTATTAAGGGCAAGTTGTTTGCTTTTCTTTCCAGCAAATGGAAAGTTAACTGTTTTAGAAGTGTTTAATGTTAGAATTGAATTTTTTTAAGGGACTAAACCTTCTCTCATGAGTTGAACTACTATAATTTCAGCTCCTGAAATCAATCTGAGGGGTGTGCTTGACCTCTGGAGTCAATAAACTTGTCAAATCGTGTCCTTTTCTGTTTCGGGGATGAATGGTTAATTTAGTGGGCTCTTGAAGAGTGTATCTAAATCGTGTGTAACTATTCTAATACTGTTTCAGTTAAAATAAGGAGAATGAATATTTTATGAACTAAACTTTATAAAATGGAAAATTCTAGCCACATGACTTTTCCTTGAACTTGGAGGAATTTTTTTTTAAAAAGCTTACTATGTTGTGGCAAAAAATATAATCTAAACAATAATAGAATTAATGAGTTTACACCAGCCTTGTATGTATTGAAGGTAACCTGATTATGAGAAGATTGGCAACTTTAAGATTTAAATAATATTTACATACGATCTAAATAAGATTTACTGCCTCAACTGTATCCAAAGAGTTTCAGCAGTGTATTCGTCTCTACTTTTCTTTCTTTAAAAAAAAAAAAAGTTTGTAAAGTTAGATTATTTGAAGATCTTTAGAAAAGTCTACCAGAGGCAAACTCATTTCTCTCGATAAAGAGCAAGATCACATTTACCAAATTCATTCCTTACCCCCACAAAAGTTGTTACTAGGGAAGCCGTTGTTTAAAACACGAAGAACCAAAGGGAGCCCGTACTGGCTGAAACATAGATTATCCAAACTACCTGGGCTCTCAGGAGCTTGACACTTTTACTAAGTCTCTATATTACACTCTACCTAGTACAACTATCTGGCAAAGGGTCAAGGTAAATAAATTCGTGATGCAAACACCATGTGGACCACAGGGAATTGCTCCAGAGATAAAGAGAAGAAGAAGAAAAAAAAAATCCCAGCAGACTTTCTGCAGAGTGGTAACTTGGTAAGAAGAAACGGATTTTTTTTAATTTATTTTGGAAAAGACTTTTAAAAAATAGTTCCCCTCTAGCTAAATCCATGGGTACTTTCTCATAGGGGAGGAAAAATAGGTCTGTCTGAAAAAAAGGGACTTTCACGAATTAAAATCCCCAAGACATAAATTTCCCTCCCTCCACCCCCTCTTCCTCCCTCCCTCCCTCTCTCCCTCCTTCCTCTCATCCTCCACTGCCCTCCCTCAATGGAGAATGGCAGTCTCAACTTGGGAATGGTTTATGGGGACCCTAGGTCTTCTGAAGTGGGGTCGGAGGCAAACTGGAGGGGTCCCCAAGGCCTCTCCCAAGTGGGCCTCCCCTCTGCCCCGACCCATTCCCTCAACCCTACACCTCAGCCCGGCGCGCTCGCTCACCGGTACCAAGCGAGGCCCTTGTCGTAGCTGCGATCGAAGAAGTGGGGTTCGGCGCCCACGGCGCGCACGTCGGGGTGCACGCGCAGGAACTCCAGCAGCGCCCGCGTGCCGCCCTTCTTCACGCCGATGATGATGGCCTGCGGCAGCTGCTTGCTGCCTTCGTCCAAGAGTAGGGCCAGGGTTCCCGGCGGGGCCTCGGCCACGCTGCTTCCAGCCCCGGACCCTCCGGGACCCACCGCCAGCCCGGGGGTCTCCTCTTCCCAGACCGTCTGGTCGCTGTCGTCGCGCGGGGCCGGAGGCCGGCGCTGCTGCTGCTGCTGCCGCCGCCGCCGCCGCTGCAGTTGCAGGAGGCGTTTTCTGTGCGTCGCCGCGGGCCACACCGCCAGCTCCCGCGGGCCTCCGGCCAGGACCCCGCGATCGGGGTCCCCCGCCTCCTCGCCGCCGCCCGACAAGCCCACGATGGGGCCGGACAGGGTCTGGCCGCGCTCGGCCAGGCAGTAGAAGACGTAGAGGGACGTGAGCAGGGAGCAGAGCATGAGCAAGAACTTGCGGAAGATGCGGCGGGACAGCGGCTCGGCCGAGTTGGGGTGCGCGCCGGCGGGGCCCGGAGGGGCCATCCTAGCCGGAGGCGACGGCGGGCAGCGCGCCTGCCATGCTAGGCCGGGGCTCCGCCAGGTGCCATCGCATCCCCCCGGCAGGCCCGGTCGCCGGACCGAGGCCACATCGCCCGTGCGTCCCTGTGGCGGTGCCAACTGCCCTGGGGAGGCAGCGGCCGGGGCGCCTCCGGGGAACCAAGTCCGAAATGGGGAGGGGGGAGTATGGGAAGGGGGAAGGGGAGCTCAGTGCTTAGGAAACCATCGTCTTAGGTTCAGATCCTGCGCCTAAGGGGGCAGCGCTCGGCACCCGGGTCCCTGGGAGTCGCTGCCGTTGGGATCTCGGCGGCGGCGGTGGCGAAGGCGCGCGGCTCGGGCCGGCCCCGCGCAGCCTCTCCCGGTGCGGATCTCCACTCAGCGATCGCGCATCCCCGGCTCCGTCCCGGTGGAGGGGACACGCGGCTCCGGACGCCCCCACGCGCTGCGTGCGCTCCGGACCGAGGCGAGCGAGAGACCGTGTTTCCCCAACTCCTGCTTGCTCTGGTCTCCTCGATCGCCGGGGCACCCCCCGCCCCTCTCCGTCCGGGCTCAGATCTTCTTCTCCACCCAATGCCAGCTCCCCCGTTCGTCTCTCGGAGTGTCCCAGTGGGACGCAGCAGGCCTGCACCCCTTCTTCGTGCGCACCCAGAGGTTCCAAACTGCACTCGGGGGGTCCCCCCCACCTGTGAGTGACGCGGCGGAGAGCCCGGTTGTCTGGGATGGAGCGGGCAGGCGCTCCCCGCCGCCGCCGGGCCCCCGCGCGTGGGGCGCACAGGGCAGCAAAGTTGTCGGTTACGTCAGCGGCCCGGGTCGAACCAGTCCCAGGGCTCTCGCCGCGGGGCGCGGACCCAGGGCGCAGGGGGGCCGGGCGGGCTGGGATGGAGAGAAGGTGGCGCGAGCGCCCGCCGCGGCCGCCCAATGGCACTGGGAGGGCGGGGGGAGGCTGGGGCGACGCCCCTTCCCCTCTGTTCTCCCGCCCCCCCCCTCCTCCCTCCGGATCGCTGCTCCCCTTTGGAGCAGAGCGGTGCTTTGCAGTGGCTGCGAGTTTGTCTGAGAGTTAAAAGGTGCTGAATCCCCCCCCCCCCCACACACACACACTCGGAACCTGATTTTCACCCCGGGAGCCCCTGGCTAGATTAGAGGTGATCAGACCTCTCCAACTCGGTGCAGCACTTTGCAGGCCGTGATCCCCGTTTCCAGCACCCCAGGGCTCTGCTTCCCTCCCAAGTCTCTTCCACATCCTCTCCTTCCTTTTCCCCTTCCAATCCTCGCTCCCGCTCCCTCATTGCCTTGAACCTCCTCCACCGGATCCCACACCTTCAGAAGTTTCTTTCGGGATAGTTTTCAGCCTTCTCGGTACACCACGATCCCATCAGGATCGGGGGCGGGGGGGGGGGGGAGTGCAATGGAATTTTTCCCAGCACCAACTTTGCTTCTTCCCTCTCTATGGCGCGCTCTTGAGTCTAACTCTTCGGTTTCAGTGTGTGTGTGTGTGTGTGTGTGTGTGTGTGTGATTTTTTTCCCTGCTTCTTTTGATTTTTTTTTCCTCCTTGGATTTATTGAAACTGATCGAAGGTCTCCCAGGACTTCGAAAGGAACAAGTTCTTAGGAAATAAGTCAATAACTAAATCAAAGACGGGAATTAGTATTGGGCGGGGGGGGGGGGGGGTCTCTTAAATCAGCCCCCAATTCCAAAGCCCAGACTCAGTTTTGTGTGTGTGATGTGTACTTGAATATTGTTTGTACTGGTATATGTCTGTCTGTGTGTATGTCTCTGTGTGTGTGTGTGCGCGCGCGCGCGCGTGCTTGCACGCACGCCTGCAATCGGGGTTAAATGCCTTTTCCATAACCAAGCGGTTTCCTTTTTCTCTGGCCTTCCCTGACCCTATATCCTCTTCCGGTGCTCCCCGGAGAGCAGGTCAGGAAAGGATACCAACTGCCCGGCTAGTTAATGGAGGGAGGCGGCCCGTGGAGCCTGCAGGGGGTGGTTTTTGTTCAAGTCCTATTTGTTCCTTATTGCTGGGCTTCCTTGCTTTCCCCGGGCAATGTGGGTGGTGGCCTGGCAGCTGCTTCATACCAACTCGGTGCCACAAGCCTTGGAGTCTATTTTCTGGACTCACTGAGGGTGCTCACAAAGGTCCTGGAAATTTTGCTTGCCCAACCTCATGTCACCACTCCATCTCATCACCTGGATGTTTTGTCTTCACCTTGTGTCTATCTAGCCAAGAAAGCCGAAGTCAGGGAGATCTTTTCTTTAACTTTCTTCTTTCTTTTCTTCTTTCTTTCCTTCCTTCCTTCCTTTCTCTTCCCTTCCCTTCCCTTCCCTTCCCCTTCCTTCCTTCCTTCCTTTCTTCCTTTCTTTCTTGCTTTTTTCTCACTTCCTTCCTTCCTTCCTTTCTTTCTTTCTTTCTTTCTTTCTTTCTTTCTTTCTTTCTTTCTCTCTCTCTCTCTTCCTTCCTTCCTTCCTTCCTTCCTTCCTTTCTTTCTTTTCTTCTCTCTCTTCCTTCCTTCCTTCCTTCCTTTCTTTCTTTCTTTCTTTCTCTCTCTCTCTTCCTTCCTTCCTTCCTTCCTTCCTTTCTTTCTTTCTTTCTCTCTCTCTCTCTCTTTCTTTCTTTCTTTCTTTCTTTCTTTCTTTCTTTCTTTCTTTCTTTTCTTTCTTTCTTTCTTTCTTTCTTTCTTTCTTTCTTTCTTTCTTTCTTTCTTTCCTTTCCCAAACGGAGACCTCTTGGTTTGAATAGAGTTCATGTTACCTGTGCTCTGCTGCATGCTTATTGGCTACTACTATTGGTTTATGGTTACAAACTATCAATCGCACAGGCAACCCAGTCTACATACAACCACTGGTGATGAGCTGTTTTGGTTCTGCTGCTGGAAAGCTCTGGATGTTTACCAGCGTGAGTAAGCAGCAAGTGCTCCCAAGCTTCACAGTTCTCCCTCCCCCACTCCTCAAATGGGATATTGACAAGCCATGGAAATTTAATGCTGACTTGGCATTGACTGTGTCTCAAAGTTGTTCTGGGGAGGGGGCTGTAATCCTAGCTACTCAGGAGGCTGAGATCTGCAGATGGAGGTTTGAAGCCAGCCTGGACAGAAAAGTTGGGGAGATTCTCATTTCCAGGTGATAGTGGGAAAAAAAGGCTAAGGACAGTGCCCAGAACTTGAGTTCAAGCCCAAGTGCACACTTTTGGGCACACACACACACACATCTTACATGCCCTTGTGATGCTATGAACACCCAGTGGGACCTTTAAGGGGGTGTTTAGCTCCTGTGGGCTCTACTTTCCTGAGAGAATAAAGCCATCTATGAAATGTGTTAGTCATAGAAGGAGGAAACTTAGCTCTTCTTCTCTGTCCTAAGACCTCACTTGCCCTTCTGATTTCTCAAATGGGATGAAATGTACGGAACCATCCAGAAACCTGCTATCTGGCTTCTCAGTCAGCATCCTGCACCTCATACCCACATGACTCCCAATTAGTTAGAATTTACCAAGTCTCTGATAGTAGCAGAAGTAGATGAAGATGCCTTCATTCTTTTCATTCCAGGTCTTCAGACTCCAGGGTATAGTTTGCAACTGGGTTGGGTCTAGCCACATTTCTTTTTTTTTTTTTTTTACTGGAGAAATTTCCCATTTCAGTTTGTTGGGTGGAAAACTCACATGCCAAAATTACTGTTACTACAAACTGACAGTATATTCTGTAGGCAAAAATGAGATTTGCAACAAAAATTAGTTAATTAAGAAGGCTGACCTAATATCCATTTAACATTATATATATATGATATTTATTTCTAAATTTTTAATTTTTATTTGAAAATGCTAAAAATAGAGGGGTTATAGTTACTTAGGCCAGGCAAAGAGTACATTTCCTTCCTTTCTCCCAGTTTTTCTCTCCCATCCACCCACAAGTTGTATAGTTCATTTTACTATTATTATTATCTTTAAGTAGTTGTACAAAAAAGTTCCCATTCTACAAAACAGTATATGAGTACAAAGTGTCTGACAACATTGTCACCCATCTCTCCTAACCCATCCAGTCTCTCATTTTATTTCTTTAACTGAGATTAGGTGATTACATAAATTTCACATATTTCACAGTATTGTGGAATAATGATACTTAGTTAAAGTTACAAACACACTTTAATCTTCACAAAGCAAATTGTCATTATCATGTTCTATACAGTCTGTGAATTCTATGAGCTTTGACAATTCAAATTACTTTTTCCACATCAGGTGATGCTTACATTTCTTTCCTTTTGCTTAGTGTAGGCTGTTCCCGCTTATTCTGTTCCTCCTCCTGGCTTCCATCCATTGCGTGCATATGCATATCACATTTCAAATGCTCAATACCACCGAGGGACTAGTGGTTGCCCCACTGGACAGCTTAGAAGGTGATATTATTCTCATAGGAGACGTATGTGTCTTGGGTGGTAGCGGTGGTCTCATTAGGAGACAACGCATTCCAATTAGGGTAATTCATAGAGTTCATTTACAAAACATGTGCTTTTCAAAAGAGTAGCAAAGAGAAAGCCTAGATATTGTGCAATAGTTCTGGATGAACGGCATTGGAGCAATTACCATCCATACATCTAAAGAGGTGAGGACCACCCCAGTTAGAATGACTAAAATCAAGAACTCTAACAACAACAGATGCTGGAGGGGATGTGGACAGAAGGGAACCTTACTGGATTGTTGGCGGGAGTGTAAACTTGTTCAACCACTTTGGAAAGTAGTATGGAGGTTCCTCAAAAGACTCCACATAGAACTCCCCTATGACCCAGCAATCCCACTTTGGGGCATTTACTCAAATGTTTACAAACAAGACCACTCTAAAGCTACCAGCATGACTATGTTTATTGCAGCACTATTTACTATAGCTAAGATATGGAACCAACCCAGATGCCCCTCAGTAGATGACTGGATCAAGAAAATGTGGTATATATACACAATGGAATTCTATGCCTCCATCAGAAAAAATGACATTGCCCCATTTGTTAAGAAATGGACAGACTTGGAAAAAATTATATTAAGTGAAGTAAGCCAGGCCCAAAGAAACATAGGTCCCATGGTTTCCCTTATTTGCAATATCTAGTATATGTCTGAGTCAAGCAGAAAAGGTCAGATAAGGTGATGTTAGGGAAATGAACCCTAAGATATGTATTCAGATGTTTTTTTTTCTTTCATGCGATTGTTTCTAACACATAAGATTATTTCTTTGTTGCTTTGTATGTCCCTCCCCCACAGTATAACCTCTGCTTTCACTGTATTTGATGTCGGTATAATTTGTGGAGAGGAAGAGGAAAAACAAATCGTTTAAATAGGGATACAGGTGGACCCATTGCAACAATGAGATGTACAAGTTGTTATGGTGAAAAATGAACTTTACAACTTTGGTGAGGGTGGGGGAAAGGAGGAGGAGGATTCAGTGGGGGGGGGGTAGGGGAGGTTGAGAAGGGATGGGAAGGGGAAACAAAGGAGGAGGCTACAATGCTTGATAAGAAGTGTACTCATTATCTTGCCCATGTAATTGTAACCCCTCTGTACAGTATTTTCACAATAAAAAAAATAAAGAGGTGAGGACAAGGAGAGAGAAGCAGCAATGGCATAGATGAGGCCCTTAGGAGATGTCAATTTAGTGGAGAGATGATCAGGCCAAGTCA